AATAAAAACCCAACGATTCCTTCCAGCAAACGACCACAGATGGGCAGAGGTGCCCAGTGGGTGGGATGGGGTGGAAAAGACAATGTGGAACTAGCAGTTGTAATCAGGTTAGCGAACAATTTGCGTCTCCAGCGATGCATGGGATATTCCCGCGTAATCTGGCCGGGACCATCTGCATATACGAACATACGTATTGTTTTTAAAAGCTATATTTTGTTTCGCTCTATAGTTTTGTACAGTTAAAAGGTTTGTTGTGTTCGTTTTACTTGTTTTGGATTGATTGAAACGTGTTTTCTGTATAGAATTTTGAATGGAATTGGAATAGGTACACACCGTCACTGCTATTGTTGATTTTTCGTGTAGCACTGGGACTATGAATGTTTTTTGTCCGTCCATTTTAGTTCGAGATTCACTTTCTGACAATCACTTTAACATTTTTCAGATTAAAGATTAAACTTTACTTATTTATTTATATTACTTAAAAAATATTACTTGGCTTTAATTGCTTTCTTATAACAACTATTACTAAACATATTATTATTTTACAGACAAACTCACTCACACATTCTTCCTAAACTTTAATTAGACACAATAAACAACTCACAACTAACAGATTACACAAAACCTGAACAAAGTCATAAAAATCTATAGGACCTTTTTAACGGAACTTTTTTTGTTAACATTTTACATAATCAAATATTATCCCAATGTCCAATAACAATAATAATATTATTGCAAAGTCATACCTCATTACTGCCAAAATCCCGATTGAGTTGTCATACTGGGATTGTGACCAATCGCGTTGATCCGTCGCGCGTGGTTGCCGCGTGGCTGGCGTGTGGCGCGACAGTTGCCCGTCCGTCGCAGGCGCAACATCGTTAATTATTGCGAATAAGATGAGACGCGTTTTCCTACTTATTTGAAAAATTGTCGTGTAATTGGTCGCGTTTTGTTAAACTTTGGGTGGGATCTGTAGACATTTTGTGTGTTTAATGGTATATAAAATTGTGCTGCGTCAGATCCACCGATTGCTTAATTTATGCTCATTTCTGTGTATCTTGTGTAAGAGTAATTGAATAGATAAATGAACTTATATTTGCTTAATCGTATGTTATTAGTTCCAGCTACGCTATACTAACTGCTATGCTGTATGTAACTGTTGTTTTAAACTCTCGAAGCGAACTCGATCGTGGTCCATCATTATGTCATTGGTTGTAAGAATAATCTTGACCAATGACAGGCGAGGCCTTCGAATTGAGTACCTTAATCAAAAATAAATTATTTCGACTGTCCAATACAATAAGATATTAAAAAATAATCACACTTTCATTAATTGATTTTATGACCAACTTAATTTTAGTACTTTTCCAGTAATTTTTTACGCTGTTTGACGATAAAAAAACGTGACGTCACGGTAGACAATCTCGTACAAAATTCATAGAAAACTGTCATTTTTGACAGTTCGAAAAAAGTATTGATTTTAACTAGTTGGCAAGTACCCAATTGTAATTTACAGAATACAGCAGGTCTGGTAAATTGTATGTATGTATATTGATAATACCTTATTCGTACGACGCTAGTGATTTAGTCGAGTTGTAAATATTTAGTCGTTCTCTCTCACTTCTATATTGGGACAGAAGCGAGAGAGGACTACTGAATATTCGCTACTCGACTAAAATACTAGCGTAGTGGGAACGAAGCATAAGGTTGCACAGTGGTCAAATGTCCTCTGAATGCTGTTGGGAACGGTATACCTATGAAAGTGTTGCGGATAACCTAACGGGTAACCAGGGCTCCGGCTCGACGTGCAGGAGAAGGCACGGGGTGGTTTTTAGTCAGTAAGAGTCTGACACTCCCTCCCGCCTCACCCAATCGAGAGCAGTCATTCCATAATTTTCCCCCCTTAAAAAAAATACCTATGAGAGTCGTTGCAATTAGTCAGGGACCAGGCAGTTTTGAATTTCTCTGACGACCTGACGGACGAACAATTTGATGCTTTGACTTTGTTCCTGTCTATTTAAGTTCTGTGATTCACAAATTGTTGTTCCGAGTCTAGGTGTCATGTAGTACGTGAAATTGTATGTTTGTGAACGCACCCACGACACAGGAGAAAACCCTAATAATATTTTCTTTAAATAAATTCATTTTAAGAGTCCGTTATAATGTACTAATCAGGTTTATTTACAATGGAATCAAAAAAAGGAACAAATGAAATCACAACCTAATAAAAACTATACCAGTACTCCTATTCTTTTCTCACATAAAAAGCCAAACATTAATATCAACAATGATTTTTATTATACGTGTGAAATATCATATAATGTCGCCACGCGACTTTTAATGGGTTAATACGTGTATTAATGGACAAAAGACATAAAAAACCCTGCGTGCGCCACTGACATTGATATCATAATCAAAATATGAAATGATATTTTGGGGGTCCAAATGTACTCTAGAGGGATTAATTTTCGACCCCCTCAGTTTGTTTGTTTTAATGATATTTTGTCAAATTGATTGTTTATTTGATTGTCGTTTTTATTGGATTATATTTGTATTGTTTGTAAGCTGTTGTCAAGTTGTTTAATTTGTAAAGTTATGTAAATATTGTTATTTCATTAATATAAACTTAGGACTGATTGACATGATTCCTGCCGAAATAAATATCGTACCTACACCTAATAAGTGGTAACTATTAATTTATATTGTTACTTTTAACAAAGGTATCTTCTCTAACTCTCAAACAAGATATTTCTAATTCAATTTGACAGCTGTGTTAAAAATCCTACGTAAAGCTACTGTCAGTAGCAGATTTGAAGCCTCTCAAAGATTTCCCAGTAAAAATCCATTCACAATAAGCGATGCCCATCGTCAACCATTGTCAGAACAGTCCACACCAGACCACCACGTTCGCACGAAAATAACCGATAAAAAACGAACAACGCCACGTGCCAACGCATTATATGATAACCGTTGGGGGCGGTATTAGGAATCGGGGACAACCCTAATTTTAATTTACGTTAGAATTTCCGATATTGGACTTTATATCTAGTGGGGTAAAGTTTATATTTGATTGATAGTTGTGGGATAAGTCTTTGCAAAAAATGTGATAGGAATGTCGACTCTAGAGTTAAAGATGTAGGGTCGTAATTTTGTTGTGTATGAGTTACAAGTTTTCATTACAGGGTTGTCAGAAGATTTCTCTATTTATTGGTGGGAAAGGCCGCGTGTCAGATCTAACACCAGTTTTAATATTTTAGGTCGCGTGTGTGTCACGTGTTGGGCTTTGGTAAAAAACTGGACGAACGTAATTCGCGTTTTATTGTCGCATTCTTCTTGTTAAATGTTATGTCGATTTTTTGTCGCATTGTGCGATTTTTTTTGCGGTCGGACGTTCGGTGGGTTATGTCATTAGTCGCAAATTGAGTGATCATGAATGGTCGATGAATGAGCTGTAATTACTTGATTTTAATAAGGTTTATTGTTAGTATTTTAATTTTAGGGATTAAAAATGGGTTCAGATTCAAATTACAATCTGCAACGTGGCTGGCAGTGGCTGGGTGCGTTGAGCTGAAGATCAAGCCGAGTGGCGTACTATTGGAGAGGTTTATGTTCAGCAGTGGACGGAAACTGGCTGATGATGATGACGAAATCTTACGCACAGAAACAATAAAATCTAAAGTATATTGGATTAAAATAATGAGGAAAAATTAATATAATAGTTTTAAAAGAAAAAAGGTTTTGTTTTTTAAATTGAGATGAAAGAAGAGATGATAATAATAAGTTCTACTCAAGGAGGTTTCTGTCTCTGGAAAGCTAACCACCGGTAGGTTGGACCATGCTCCCGCTACTGGTCGGATCCTATTTTTTATATTTTTATATATTATTTTTTATTTTATAAGTAGTATTTAAAAATGTAATTTGTAGAGAATTTTAAATAAATATATGATAATAATGAGTTATACTCACTTTAATATTATCAAACTCTTTGGATAACATCTAACGCCATCTCTTGACGGGATTGCAAACTAAACTATGTTATCAGGGGTGGCGCACTCTGAGAAGGCCTATTTCCGTCCACGTGCCGACAACAATACGATACGACGACGACATTGTGACGATATAATACACGTCATCGTTACGTCATAATAATATCCCGGATTATTTACATTGACGACAGGAAATTGCCTTTTTTGGCCCTTACGTCAATTGTGTTGGCATTTTTATTGATAGGTTGATAGGTGATGCAAAATAAAATGAGCAATTTTGTGATATGAGCTCATTGTTAGTTTTATCGAGTTTGAAACAGTTTAATGTTTTTTCTTATAGTGTCGAAAGGTCACAAGCGCGAAGTTCGAGCAGGAATCGGGTTTGGTTTCCGGGTTGGACAAAGTAAGTACCTATTCGATACAATTGGGATGCTCGGTCTTTGAGTATTTTCTGTACCAGCAGGAAGTCTGGAATAGTGAAGTGTGTGGTAAAAAGCTAATTTTAACTTGTATTTGGGCATTTATTTTGTCTATAATTCGGTCATTAAAATATGAAATAATAACATAACATCACGCCTTTTGACCCCGAAGGGGTAGGCAGAGGTGTGTACATTACGCGACTGTACAATGTAACACTCACTTTTTACTATTTATGTTATGAGTCCCATGTAATAGGGGATGAGCCTATTACCATATACCGGGCACAATTCCAGACTTCGTGCTACTACTGAGAATTAAAAAAAAAACAGTAATACTTTGCCCGACCCGGGAATCGAACCCGAGACGCCATGCCCGGCAGTCGAATTTACGACCACTCAGCCAACGAGGCAGTCTGAAATAATATTAATGATTAATTGACTAGGTACTTTAAAAGACAGATTATCTCAGTAAATCTATAATGTATTTACATTTTCGCTTATACTTAAATCAAACAGTTATCCTTTTCACATGCTCAAATAAAACTAAAACAAAAATAAATAAAATAAACTACAAGTACATTATATAACTATGTTCAGGTCATTCAGTCTGTGTCCGACAGCATGATGCAATCCTGAAAAATAAAAACATTTCTTTTTACTGAAACAAATCTATATAGAAAAAAATCGAGTGTCATACTAATGGATTTTTATAGTGGATGGCATAAAATAGCAAATAAATTCGATACCAAAATCGTGTCTGCCATCTTCGTTCTATATCCCGGGCTATAGCGTCGGTGTTATATCCGTGTGAGTCTGAAGTAGATTTATAATCGAAATTAATTACCGATCTGGACCTAATATATCTATATTGTTGAATATTTTGACCATTTAATCCTACTCGACCGGAGAGGTTAGAAATGGGTACTTGCCTACCAGTCAAATTCAATACTTTTTTTCGAACTGTTAATAACGACACTTCTCTATACGTGTATTGTGATGTGACGTCACGTTTATTTAGCATCAAACAGCATACTTATTTATTAAAAATTTGCTGGAAAAATGCTAAAATTAGTTTGGTCATAAAATCGTATTATTTGAAAAGTGACTATTTATATTTTATTTTATTGAACAGTCGAAATAATTTATTTTTGATTAAGGAAAGCACCCAATTCCGGCGGGCGGCCAACTGTTTGATTGCTTTGTAGGAACAAGGGTACAATTAAACAGTTTCCTATATAATGATCTACTAATGTCTGCTTACCATCAGGCGGTCCATAAATAGATTCAGAGATGTAGGATGTAGATCAGTTAATGATTTCAACCGTTAGTTTAAATTAGTATAAAAGCTATTTCGAATTTTATTATTTTCCTAAAAAAACTACCTTATTGACCGTTTTGGGCTATCTATTTCCTACTATAACTTGATGCCTGTACTACGTATGTACTTATAAAAGTTAATGTGAGTGAAACTCACCTCAAATTCTCCAATGAAGATATCGGAGTCGTCTGAAGGTGGACCCTGGTCGATGTTATCCACTGCTGTAATTTGTGGACCTAGGAATTGTGAACAGGAAATAAATAGATAATTTTAAACATTTAATCTATCAATAACAAATAATTTTTAAGAAGCAAATTTACAAAATAATGGTATAATAATAACGGTTTATTATGAAAATTGCGGAAAACCACCTTGTTGTTTCGCATTATGATGCGACTATTGAAATTTTTGACTCGTAACGCCATCTATAGGTAAGGGAAACAAAACAATAACTGCTTTTTTCTGTGTTTAGTCGCATTTGATTCCTCGGTTGTTGAAATTACAAATTCTGTCTTAGTTATACGATTATGAATTGAAATTGCCTTATCTACATTATTACCTAATGGTATACATTCCATAGGTTCAAAGAGGTCCATGGAGATGAGGTCCAGTGGAGGAGACGGAGCCGGCGGTGGCAATGCACAAGTTGAAGAAATTCTTGTTCCTGGTGTAAACATCAAATACTATTAATAAAAGAGTGTATTTAAAAAAAAAATAAAACCAGTATTTTATACGAAAGCAATATTTACATTTTCCGTTTTTTAACAAGATATTAATGGCCGCTTTTACCAATCACTCCTAATCTGTCATTAAAATAAAAGCCACTTAGCGTGATGTAGTACCTAAACTAATTCTTTACTAGTTCTGTCAGGGGTCACAAACAAAACTGGCGGTAAGTATAATTCATATTAGATTAGGGGTTTCTTGAAACAGGAGAAGTTGGTGCCAACGGGTATTAAACACTTCGTACGATCCCATACTTTTTCATAATTCCCTGATTTTATTCAAACCACATATGCGAACTCAGCACTTATAAGCTGACAATGATGATGATGATGAGACGTTTAGCTTGGTGCTATAATGTCCATAATTGTTGCATTTACATAGTTATTGTAGTTTGACCAATGACCGAGAGGTTCTTTGTACCGACTTCAAAAAAGGAGGAGTTCATCCAAAAACTACTAACTGAATTGCAAATATTCTACTGGTTTACAGATCTGTATCTACTAACCAGTTCGCAATCCATCATCGAAGCCGCTGCAAGTATCCAAACGTCTCGGCTCCGGATGAGTCAGAGAGGTGGTGGTAAGAGCGCTGGCGGGACCAATACGAAGCTCATTCCTAGTGGTGCACGGTTCCACGTTCACTTCACCGACTGAAAAAATTATAAAAGTAATAATTACATTAATCTGTCAAACACCAAGCGGTCACCGGTGACCGCGACCTATTGTTCTTTAATTGTGTCTATAAAACCGGTACTCAACGAGTTAAATAAATATATAAGTGTAGGAGAGCCATGTTTCAGCACGAATGGGCCAGCTCGACCGGAGTGATATCACGGTCTCACAGAAAACCGTGAAACAACATAACACATAACATAACATCACACCTTTTATCCCTGAAGTGGTAGGCAGAGGTGCACATTACGGCACTTAATGCCACTGTACAATGTAACACCCACTTTTCACTATTTATGTTATGAGTCCCATGTAATAGGGGTGAACCTATTGCCATATACCGGGCACAATTCCAGACTCCGTGCTACTACTGAGAACTTTTTTAAAAACCCAGTAGTACTTTGCCAACGTGAAACAACATTTAATTAATTTTCTCTTACCATCAGCAGACAACGCAGTATGATAAGCATGATGGGGTTCTTCGACAGTAAGCTGAAGTCTTCCACCAGGTTTGATCCTGGGCACTACAGTCGCTACAACTGGCACTCTAATCTGCACTGCACCGTTCGCTTCCATTCTCGGTTCTATTTCACCGTGCGGAACAACGCCAGTTTCTGTATCATTTTTCAGAACTATTTTGCCTCCAACTCTTAGATCTTCTGCAGTGGCTGGTACTAACATCTGAAGGATAAAGTTGAAAAATGTTATTATGGCTGCTACTTACGAATATTATCTAATAGAATAATGCTATTTTGGGATTGCAAAACAAAAGCCAATGTACGTAATTTTTTTGTTAAATAATAACAGAGATATTTAAAACAGCGTGTCTAAACTGAACCTTAGTTTCGTAGTACCTGATAAAATATTCAATGGACGAACAGTAGATAAACCTAGATTAAAACTATTAGTGTAGTGAGAAGAATTTTAAGACATTTTCTATACAACAAGAATTAATTCTTAAAAAAATAATGAATTACCTGCTTCCCACCAGGTAGCTTCGTATCAACCACTTTAACCAACACAGGAGTTCCATTATCAGGTTTCAACAAGGCAAATGGCGTCTGCCTAGTAGCCAATGCAACACCCATATGGTAAGTCTTTATAGGGTCCACAATCACTCCACTGCTCATAGACGCCCAAGGACCTTCGTTCCAAATATCTCCAGGTTCCAGGTAAGGCTTAGGAAGCTCCCAAGGATCTGGTTTTGGGGTCCAAGTTGATGAGGATGGGCCTTCAACTGATGGTAGGTAAGGTCCCACTGAGGACGATACTTCGCAATGCTCTGCTTGGGGCCTTTAATGAAGCATATTTTTATTTTTAATAATGTTGCTTTGGGATGGTGGATGTGGAAGTCATTGCAGGACCCCTATATTCTGCTGTAGGCATCTTATAACAGATATGGTAATGACATTTTGAAAAGACGAATAGAGTCACAAACGAACTAATAAACTTGATCAGAGCAACAATGATGAAAGAATATTTACATCCCACAAGTTTATCAAGGGTTTTGAGTCTTGGCTCAAGGGAATACGTATGAATAACCGTTATCAGTTTTGTTTATTTTTTAAATTTTAGTACTGACCTTGTAGTATCAGGTTGAGTTTCAGTAACTGAACGAGTAATGCGAGGAGTGGTGGATCTTCCGCGGACATTCACTGGCGGACAACTGCTGTCATCTGGGTGAGCCTAAGTAAAAAAAAGTGCTGTGAAATTAGGAATCAGTCGGCTTTTCCCGTGAGAAAAGCAGTGATGTTGACAAATATTATATTCTATTCTTTAAAGCAAATAAAATAGATCAGATTTTTTTTCTATAGCATAAGCCGGTAAACGAGCAGACGGATCACCTAATGGTAAGCAATCGGCGTCGCCCATGGACTCCAGAAACACCAAGGCGTTACAAGTGCGTTATCGGCCTTTTGGGAATTGGGAATTTGAGGATTGTGGAGGATACGAGGATTCGAGAGACTAGGGAGACTAGGGATTGGGCCTCTGGTAACCTCACTCACACGACGAAACACAACGCAAACGTTGTTTCACGTCGGTTTTCTGTGAGGCCGTGGTATCACTCCGGTCGAGCCGGCCCATTCGTGCCGAAGCGTGGCTCTCCCACGCTTAAATCAGATCCTGTAAATGTATGAAATGAAACCTTTACTGAATTGAAGTTGTTGAATTTTGGGTACTTACTTTGTTTTTATGGCAGACCAAGTTGGACTGTTGATTGAATCCTTTCAGACAAATGTTGCAGCGATATGGACGTTCATTGGTATGCGTGAACAGATGGTTACGAAGATTTCCTGTAAAAACCAATATGTCTAGAATTTAGTTTCTAATCGATTAAGAGATTAAAGTGTTATTTACTTTATTTGTTTATAATATGGTCATTAATAACAACTTTCTCATAATTTTCTGTATCGGTAAGCATTTATACAACATGTAACGTAATTAACGCATACCCTCAAACACCCCAATTAGAATATTATGTTATAATCATAATACATACACAAAATTTTTAATTTAACATGTATATGCATCCTTACTGGTCTTGTCATAAGGTTTATTTTTCTTTATTTTGTATTGAATGATAGAATTTGTATGAATACATATAAAACTGCGATTTTTAAAGTCTTATTCTTCGATCAACAATAACAACTAGATATCGGGTCGGCGCAAGAAAATCGTCTCGACAAATAAGAGCTCACTTGAAAAGTGAGCTCTTATTTTGTTTAGTATGCTCCAAACATGGCCAACGTAATCACGTCTCACGATGCTGCAGTGCGTAATTGCAAGTTGCAAAAATAATAACCGAAAAAGCAGTATAACGGCCGGAGTGTCTTACTTTCGTTAAGTAAATAAAGTATAAGTTATATTTTAAGCTTTTAAATTAGTAAATAATATCAAATTAGACAAAATTACCAATTATAAACCAACGCCACCAATGTTTGTGCGTGTGTTGGCGATCCCTTGGCCAAGCCTCGCCAACACGCGGACAAACATTTGTTTAAACAGAACAGTGGATGCATGGAGTCGATTTGTATTTTAAAACAAATTTGTATTGTAACCTGATTGGAAAAGAGTACTTAACCTATGCAGTTTCTTGCTCGTTCTTCTCCATAGGAATCTACACCTTGGAATGAGCAAATAGCTTCACTTTTAAATTTATATTGTTGACGTTCAAAAGTGCCTTCCTGGTCTAACTGAAATAAATGATTTTGACTTAGACTTTTAATGACAAAGTTAATAAACATATGGTACACAAAAACGTACCGCTAATAAAAATAAGTGATGTATACTAAGATCCCGAAAATAAAATTATTTTAGTGTTCAACACGACTCCATACATACCTCCTGTAGCGAAATTCAAAATTCGAAGAAGCAAAACGCAACAAAACAAAATGATATAGATCACAAGGCAATAACGGAAAAATTATCTTTATTTGTTCTAGCTTAAGGTTGAATTCAAACTAGATATTTTATAACTTATGTCTTTTAATTTCTACATGACAGGAGTAAGAAAATGCTTTTCTCGTCTTATGTGACGAATGGTCGTAAGTATTAGATAATATTTTGACGATTTATGACTTTATTATCAGGTGCCATGGTTGTTATTAGGTTGAACTTAAAACCATTTTAAAACATTTTTCTCAGTTTGTTATTTTTTTACTATTATTATTTACACGGACAGAACTGGAGCTTGATTTTGTACGTAACCCTTTATCTAGTTGTTATTGTTGATCGAAGGTCTTATTGCTTTGACTTACGGTCCATTTCGATTTGTTTTAACAATACAGGGTTAATATGACAATAATTTCTGTAGTTTTAATTATTTTTGGGATAAAATTACCTATACTAAAAATTATATAAATCGATTCAGTTAACGATCCTGAACAAACTATTTTCAGGATGTGCGTTATTTAAGTTACATGTTGTATATACTACATTACTTTTACTAAGACTTAAGCATGAGTGGAAATGGATAGGAAAAGGTAACCTTTTTGATGGAATCCTTTGGGACAAATATGACATCTGTATGGCTTCTCATCAGAATGAGTCTTGCGATGGGAGATCAAAGTGGACACGCGATTGAACGTCTTGTTGCAGACCTGTGATTGATGGAGACCTTACCAATTATGTACTCTTTAGACGATTAATACATACATACTTTACATAACATCACGCCTTTTATCCCCGAAGGGGTAGGCAGAGGTGCACATTATACCACTGTACAATGTAACACCCACTTTTCACGAATTATGTTATGAGTCCCATGTAATAGGGGGTGAGCCTATTGCCATATACCGGGCACAATTCCAGACTCCGTGCTACTACTGAGCATTTTTTTTAAAACCAAGTAATACTTTGCCCGACCCGGGAATCGAACCCGAGAACCGTTGCTCGGCAGTCGCACTTGCGACCACTCGGCCAACGAGGCAGTCGGCCAACGATTAATAATCATATTATATCATAGTTTAAGTACTTATGTCGTCTTGAATAAAAGAAAATGTATTATATTTAATAGATACCGACTCGTTAAGATTTAATTCTTTAGTTCAATCAAATACAATGGAATAGTCCTATTAGCCGCTAAGCTAGTACAAATTGCAAAATGAATTGTAAAGTAGTGATTTTTTAGTCCGCCAAAATGGATCCTAGCTATACTTCGTTATATTATTATTAGATTTAAAAACACCATTACTTAGGTATTAACTGCGAAAGTGCGTTTGTCTTTTGTGTCCGTTTTTATGGTATTAGTTTTGTATCTGGAGATAGGACGCTAAAGAGTGGTATAAGAAGCAGTTGGAAAGCTAGTTATTAAATAAATAATATGTACCTCGCATGCATAAGGTCTTTCAGCAGAATGTATGGCGCGATGCTGGCTCAGAGTAGACAGTTGTCTGAAGCTCTTCCCGCAGGCGACGCAGTGGAAGTTCCTCTCATCAGTATGGGTGGGGAGGTGACGCATCAACGTGTACTGGTGCTGGAACTCGCGGCTACCTGTTGGGAAAGTAAAAATATATTATGATTTACACTTACCTGAGTGAGATCTTTTATAGGATATGGCCACAAGCCAGCAGATCCATCACCTGATGGTACGCAATCTATTTTTAACCGACTTCAAAAAATGTGAAGGTTTTATTATATTAATTAGCCGACTTAGAAAAGATGGGGTTGAAGTCGTTTTTTAAACGTCGTTTATAAAAAAAACTAGCGACCCGCCCGGGCTTCACATGGGTGCAATAAGCATGTATGTTATATATAAAACCTTCCTTAAGAATCACTCTATCTATTAAAAAAACCGCATCAAAATCCGTTACGTAGTTTTAAAGATCTAAGCATACATAAGGACAGACAGACGGCGGATAGCGACTTTGTTTTATACTATGTAGTGATGATTTAGCATATATTATTTGTACATTTGGGTAAAGATAAGTCAATACCACTTTTCCCAACCTAGAACTTGTATTTCTATACGAAAGATAAAGAAAGAGGATACAAGTAGAAACAGAGGATTACTAGCGTGCGATAGTCTTAGAAGCTGAATACGTATGTACTTACAAATACCACATTCCCATAGCTTGACAGTCCGTCCGTGCCTCTTAACATACTTCACGTAGTGGAATCTGGAGCGAGGATCCGTTTTGTCCACCTTACACGTACCAGGACCCTTATTGCGATCTGTACCTGGGAGATATAAACAAAACAAAACAAAACATAAGTGAGAAGTATGAGAGAAGTAATAAGTAAAGAAGTACCTCTTGGGCCCGATATGGTGACGAGGTCGATGGCAAAAGATAGTTCAAGTAATATAAAATTGTACCCGTTCCTGAAGATCCTGCAGATGTAGAAGATACGAGATGGGGTTCTCCAAATATCTTTTTACTGAATGTGATGCCATTTCGGTTGGTAGGTTGCAGCACTGCACTAGAAGTGTCGGCTTCCTATTGAAATAAAAATGTTAGTTAAGCTTATTTAGCGAATGATAGAAATTGATGGCACGGATGGGACAGTGGTTGACTAATCGGTATCGCGAGTTGCCCGAGCGTACGGTGCGTCGCGTTCCACGCGCGTTTCAAGGAGCCATCAGACCACCACAGATGGGGCCCAACAGGGCTGATGCCGATACGGAGCCGTGGAAAGCTTAACGAGTTGCCGGGGCTCCGGCTCCAAGTGCAGGAGTAGGAACGGGGTAGAAGTAGGAACACTCCCTCTCGCCTCACCCGGGCGGGAGAAGTCATTGGATGATTTTCCCCCCTCAAAAAAAAAGTATCGTGAGTTCGACTCCTGAACTAAACAATTCTTTGTGCAGTCCACGTATTGTTGTTCCGGGTCTTAATATGGCTGTTTTTGTAAATAAATCATTGATAAAGGGCGAAATTTAATTTAATTTAATCGAATATAATCATATGATATAAGGTAATGAATGAATAAAGTTGCAATAAACACCTTCTTAAAATGCTTAAACCCCTATTTGTACTCAAGAACTATATTTTACCTTCATCTCACTCTTAAGCGCGGCATCCAAGTCTTTGCCGAAAGTCGTTTGTCCAGTGGTACCAAACCCTGGCTCGGAGACCAGAGATGCAATGTTGCCATCTTCCTCCGTCCATGCGAACCTGGCCTGTTGCTGCTCCAAGCCATCAGAGAAGAAACCGTCACGAAACAGAGAGCGTGGTACGTCAAGCTGGTAGTAAGAAGAAAGAGAAAAGGTTTACTTAAATAAAATAAACATCATTTCAATATTTACGGATAACGCGTCGTCCTATTTGGCTACGTAACCATCGTACGATAAAACGATGCGATTTCGTCGCACGACGAGATTATAGCCCGTACTCCCGCGATGATTTGCAAGCTTCAATTGTATTTAGTTTCATTGTGCGACAAAATCGCTTCGTTCAATCGTACGATGGTAAGCTAAATAGGACGACGCCTAACAAACTCATCTGTTTATAAAAGTAATTATAAAAATAAGTGGCAAACGCATCGTGGCGTCATAAGTAAGTATCTTACAGAAAGGTCATTAACGTAAAGTAAATAATGCGTATAAATAATACCCAGAATTTTGTAACTAAATTGTTAAAAAGAGCAATACTTTTAATCTGCAAAAAAGGGCGAAAATTGCTACATTGCGAGCGTTTCAAAATGGTGGAAAACTACCTTCTATTTACACGACAAACCGCCAACAAAACTCATATTTAATAATAATTACAAAATATAGAAAGATAGCTATCCTGTGTTACCAAATCATATTGACTTTAATATCAAACGTCAGTAAGACGTTTTTCCATTGATAAAAAATATTGTTGATGGTTTGTTTTTGGCACTTCAAATGACAGATGTTTGACCGCAATTGTCAATCAAACTTGAAGGAAAGCGAAGCTGATGCAGCTTCCATCACATCAGGTCTTGGTAAAATTATTAATTTGTAAAATAAGAATATATTTTAGTACATACGTCATTCCTGCTGGAAGTAGAAAGTAAAGGCTCGCCACTAAATCCCAAATCCTTTTTGTCAAACTTGTCACTCAAACACACTTCGCGTATGCTGCAACAACGGAATTATCATAAAACAAAAATTAAAACAAACGTTAAACAAATCACCATGGCCGCGTTTCAACTATTTGCCCGAAAAAAATCGAAGATCGCACCTTATAATCTCATCACCCGGTTGCATGAAGCCACTCTCCGGCATTTCTTCTTTTATTTCTTCATCGGAAAACATCATTTATTTTTGCAATATTCAATTATTTTTTCGAGACAAAAAACGACACGACGTCAACGTCAAACAGTCTGTTTTTTCTCAACTAGATTTTTGTTTCTATGACGATCAGTGTTCTGCATTTGAATTTTTTATTTTTTAAATTATTTTTTTCTAAGCTGCGTGTGTTAAACAATTCTGGACTGTCAATTGCAATGTGACCTTTTTTGAACTTTGAGAGGTTGGTGACCTGTTTTGAAAAGCTAAAGTAATATTGTTGTTATACCGTGGTTTTGCTTGCGTAATTTTATCTGACAATTTTTATGTTTAAACAGCAAATTCTTTTCATAAACCTACTTACACAGATATCTTTCAAACCGAATTTCAGGCTCGATTGTCCTAAAAATTTCTCATTCGCCATTCTGAAAGCATGTTGTTCACAAAATGTGAATAAATAAAATTATTATTCAGTGTATTTTCAAGAGGATTGTTACAACGTCTAAGTGGTCTGCTCATTTCGTTGCGGGGCCCACTCGAATGCTTGAAGAATACTTCAGAACCAACTTAATGTTCATGAGAAGAAAAAAATATCTTTTGACTAAAGAATAAATTTTATGTCTATACTGAAGGTTGAAATTATTAGGCACGGTAAGGTACCTATCAAGTTAAAGTTATTTCGGTATTGAGATTACATAAATTGGGTTGGTGCAGTTGTAACTGTTGAGCTCGAAATCTCGAGTTCGATTACAGGATCGGGGAAAATGATATTGGATTTCATGAATTCTTAGTCATCTAGATTAAAATTTACTGCCCATACTTTGTATTCACCGAAATGGTAGACCGAGGCGTTTAGGCGCAAAAGGGTAACACTCAGATTCAGCTAATATTGTATTCCAATTTTAAAATGTAATTTTCTGAGAAACATTACAAATAATAGATACCTTCAAGCGATTTAATAAACCATACAATTTTCTACTTAATAATATCTGAAGTACAGTATAAAATGAAACTAGAATTACAAAGCTAATATACCTCTACATTTTATTTCCGATTAAAATACCATAAGGTTTTTTTTAAGGGGGGAAAATCATCGAATGACTGCTCCCACCTGGGTGAGGCGGGAGGGAGTGTCAGACTCTTACTGACTAAAAACCACCCCGTTCCTTCTCCTGCCGGTTAAATACCATAAGGTTAAGGTGACACTGAGGTAACACTCAGATTCAGCTTATATTAATTTTATTTCCAATTAAAACACCATAAGGTTCAAATTGATCCGAAACTGCGGACAACCTAACGGTAACTTTGGTTCAAAACTGGACTAGGAACGGGGTAGTTTTTAGTCAGTAAGTGCCTGACACTCCCTCTGGACTCACTCAAGGTGGGAGAAGTCATTGGATGATTTCCCCCCTTAACCCTTTGAGTAGGTACCTACCGTCATTACAGACACAATGAAACAACAATAGGTGTTTGTTTGGACACCGGAGTCCTCGCGGTGTTTGACAGTCGTAAAAAAAGGTTCAAATTATAGTGGCTAAACATATCCTACTATACTAAATAGGGATTCAGGATATCTTCACATGCCGTCAATATAACGTCACACACGTGAAGACGTTCAAAGCCATTTGGAAATGAAACCGACAGTCGATGGAATGTCTTTGATTAGCACACCATGTGATTTGATTGAAATACCTTCCACGTGTTTGGGTGGCTACTTACCCACTTATGAGTTAAGTGTCCCCCTTTGTTTAGGGGGTGGGTATGTATGTAGGTATGTGACAGTGTTTAATTGATTACGTAATGATTTTTTTTTCAAACTGGTAGTTTGCAGTTGTTCATTGTATGCAGGTTGTTTCGTGACTTTTACTGACCAGTTTGGAAGTCATTCGAGATTCTTTATTCAGCAGTGCACGTTTTGTGGCTGATAAATATCATGAAGATGATGAATATTCTCTTTTTCAGCTTCAATGGTGCGAATGTTATTTTTTAATGGAAGTTAAAGAAGTGTGTAATTATCGTAGCAGCTTATTAATGTGCTTAAGATTTTGTATTTCATGTTTCATAAAAAAGGAAAAAGTGGTTTAAAATATTAAAAAAAAACTAAATAAATTATGAAACTTCATACTAGTAACGCCATCTATTGGACAAACTTTAAGTTATTCCTAACGCCATCTATGATGTTAAGTTCAAACTACATGCATCAACAGTTCTCTCAAAAAGTTTATAGATGAAGTACGAACAAATACAATTGTAGACTAGCGCCATCTAGGTAACAGCCATAGAACTTATTGCAAAAGTGCCGAAGTAACGGTAACCATTGCTCGAGTAGACTCGATTTGTTGTTAGTTCTTCTATGACTCTGTAGATGGAGTAAATATGTATTTTTACAAAATTTAAAAATATAAGCGACATTTTATTTCATTTAGATTTAGATTTACTACATTCTTGATTATTTCTCTTCGAGTTTTTTTTTATTTATTTGATGGGGCGAAATATTGTTTTATTTTGATGTTAGATGTATCTCGTTTTTTTTGTAGAATAAAAAAATAAGAAACTAACTTTTCTATTGTTTCTTTTTGTAATCTGAAGAAGATAGATAAACAATAATAATGCCTCTATTGTCCAGTGGTCGGAAATACGACTACAAGACTAAGTTCTTGAGTTTAGCCATTGAGATGCAGCGTTGATGAGTTACGAAATTAGGTAACAGGCTAACAGGCAATCCGGAGCAACGGAACAAATTAATTAATATGAATTACGTACCTAGACTGCTTATACTGGCAAATAATCATCATAAATACAACTCTGTCAATGTCCTCTGAAGAATAATAGCAACCGCTATATATAAATGGTCTGTTAAATTGAACTTTTTTTAAAACAATGTTTTTGTAATTGCTAAGATTTATCAACATTTATGAATGCGCCATCTATACACATAAACATTGAAAACAAAAAGCCAATCCAATAGATCAGGATAAACATGGAATTAAAACCACACAGCGGCGTTGTACGCAATTTATTTTCAGATTAATAGCCAGTATAACTTGACCTCCCATACAAAACATCTTCTATAGAACTATAGCTCAAGTTACATTGGTGGTATACCTTGATATGCGGCAGTGTAGTCACACGTTCAAACATGTCTCATAGTTATTAAAACATCGTGGAAGGTGCTCGATCTTAGTCTGTTTGACAGAATGCATTGCCAATACCTGTTTGTCGATGCCTAAGTTAGATAATCAGTATGCATGGTCATTCTGTATTTATACTTCAATGGTTTTATTAACAATGGCTGTGGGTCCTAGATGTGGCTGCATTTATCTCACGTCAAAATACTAGTTTTGTATTTAATTGCATACAATATTAACGGTGTTATGCTGTATGTAAAGGTGGGATTCTATTGATAGTTTGAAAATTGCTGTTTGGATAGAGACTGGGAATTGGGATGATGACAGGGTATGAAAATTTAAAATCTAATTAGTCCGTCAGTTAGATAATGAAAAAATATTAGACACGTATCAAAATAAATTATATTAAGTAACTAGCTACTTCCGCGCGGTTTCACTCGCTCTGCTCGTCGCCTATTAATCGTAGCGTGATATTTCATAGCCTTTCTCGATAAATGGGCTATCTAACACAGAAAGAATTTTTCAAATCGGACCAGTAGTTTCCGAGATTAGCGCGTTCAAACAAACAAACAAATTCTTCAGCTTTATAATATTGTATAGATTATATCTATACTAATATTATAAAGAGGAAAGATTTGTATTTTTGTATTTTTGTATGTTTGTAATGAATAAACTCAAAAACTACTGAACCGATTGCAATAATTTTTTCACCATTCGAAAGCTGCATTATTCAGAAGTAACATAGGCTATATAATATCACGCTAGGTCCTATAGTTGTGGAGCAGTAACCAAAAATGTTTTAAAAACGGGGGAAAAGTATCGTTTCTGAGGCCTTCCGTGGCGTGCGCTGAGCATATAGTTAAAGTTATACAAAAATGTTCTATAGATGAATTGTTTATCTTAACATTATTTTTAAAAAAGTCCGCGAGAGCATATGTCTACCTTTTATAGTTTACCCATAACAATCGTTTTAATGAATGGTTCAATCCTTATAAAAGTTTGCTCTAGATAACTTTTGAATTGTTCAATCGGTTACCTTAAGACGCGACATCGACAACGGAGGGCAGGTCGCTAAAAAAAAACTGAGAATAAATATAAATAAAACGTAAAACTATGTAAAAAATCTTAAGTCCCCCCGTGCGAAGCCGGGACGGGCCGCTAGTTAGATTATATAAGACAAACGGGGAATGAAAACATCGTGAAGAAATATGGGCCTATAATTTCTAATTATAAGTAAGTTTAAAACTGCCAACCCGCAATGAGCAAGCCCGCAATAGCCAAGCTTCTCCATGTGAGAAGAGGCTTTTGGTCTAGTAATCAAGTATTTATTGGTGGTGGTGGTGGTGGTCTGCAGTGGCTATTTATAGGCTATTGATGATGATATTAAGTAATTTATCTTTTATCCAGTTGACTGGGTCTAATTCTTTTCATTTCATTTCATTTATTCAATAAACAATTTACATTGTATCTGAATGTCTTCATACATTATCATAAATCATAATCATAAATTACATTGAAATATAATCCATACAGCATGGATCAGTCATATTACTCAAAAACAAAAAATAAAATTTTAATTCTAGTTACTTGAGTGTCGATAGATTTGGTTATAGCTACTGTTCACGGTGGATTTGATAGAAATTGAATTTAAAAGATCTACTGCACTTCAGCAGCTGTAGCCAAATGCCATTTAGCGCTTGTCTATATGTAGAATAGAAAACCAAATTATGTGGAATTGACGTAAATTTTGATACTTGTCAGTATCATCCCCATACATTTTGATTTCTACTCTCTCTGTAGACAAGCGCTAAAGTGGTGTTTGGCCTAAAGGCACTAGTCAGCCAAATCTACCAATAACACAGTCTATTGAGAAGCGCCGACTTCCTTTTGGATCACGATAGTAAATCGCAATGATCAATTCTTACGTAAGTAGACACGTAGACGTCAATTGATCTCATATCATCTTTTATAGTGTGACCATTACTTCAATTCCAATTCTCAACAAGAAATGACAATTCTCTTCGTACGATGCTTATCAAGAACAGTAATAGTTTTCTTCGCCATTTCCCATACTACAGACTTTCAATCGTTTGACAAATCAGAGCTAAGTTGAACAAAATGGCCGTTGATGACGTCACGGACCAATAATGCCTGTGATTGGTTCGCACGTGATGTTCGGTTACGTTTGTACACTTGATTGCAATAAAAGCGGCAAAGTGTGAGATCACTTTTATAAATTGACACTGGTAATAAACTCACTAAAATTTACAGTTTAGGAGACTCATCATGATCGTCA